GAGTGCTGTAATTGATTAGCCATGCCTGTCAGGAAAGCAGGGAAAGAAGTGGAACAGGTGCTCTGTATTTGCCATCCCTGAGCTGATTCAAGTACGTATAGTCCATGTACTAGAGGGAGAACTGAAACCCAGGGAGCAGGAAGCTCAATCAAAATTTCATAGCTAATTAGTGGCAGGATGGGCAGAATTACTTATTTTCAATATTTGGTGCTCATTGTGCACTTGGTAACAGTTGCTACCGGAAAATTTTGGGGTCATTTAGAGTTGGAAGGGAGCAAAGTCTGACTGCAAATATGAGCTGTTCTTTCTTTTAGAGAGCCTTTAGGTTCCTTCACATTTGTTTTCTGTGCTATTTGCTGAATCAAGGAAATGGATCATCCATTCTGAAGGACTGAAAAACTGAAAATACTAGGAGCATGATATTAGTTTCCCATTCAGATGGAGCTCAGGAAAAATCATAAACCATATAAGCAACTCACTACTCAGTCTGGCCATTGATTCTACTTCATCCTGGCCCAGGAAGACAGATCTACAGAGTAGAGTTAAAAGGCTTACAAGGCCTTTTGCTCTTCCACCTATCTATGGTATCCGTTCATTCCTAGCATCTTGCACACTTGTAGGCCCACATGAGTACTTTTGCCATTTGAGTAATATCAGCTCTTGGAACTGGAGTAGACTAGACATACGCTGATGGAAAGATTAACCTATATATAACATGCATTTTACCGTACATACAAAATTGTATATTGTTTTTCTCCTTTTTCTTTTGGATCTCTTACTTTTTTTTTTCTTTTTCTTTTTAATCTACAGTATAATAATCAGTTGATTCCAGACCTTTGCTAGGTCAAATAATGCTGCAACAAACAACCTTATGCATTCATCTTGGCGCACTTCTGAGAATTTATCTAAAAAAGATAAATTCCTGGAAGTAGAGTGACTGCAACAAAGCTTTTGATCTCCGTAGATACTGCCAAATGGATTCGAAAAGGTCTCACCAATTTATATGCCCAGCAATGGCATATGGGAGCACCGGCTCTCCCACATCAGGCTAACACTGGTATTTTCAAATACGAATAAGAGGAGAATGTGAATATAGTTTTCAATTAGACTCGAGGCATCCCCCTTGGCTAGCCCAGCCTGTGTCTCCCCAAAGCAATATAGCTGGGTGATGGCATACACCACAGACTCTGCACAGAAGGCTGAATGCTCCCGCTTCATGGGAACAGGAGGTGTTTCTTCAGTCTATGCCCTACTTGGCATCTGTCCCTGAGAGACCCAGCCAATGTGGGAAGCCAGCCTCTCTGATGGCAAGAAAGAGTGGATTGGAAACAAATTGATCTTTTCACAGCTGGCCGTTCTCTTCTTTCCCCTTAACTTGGACCCAGCTCAGAACAAGGTCACTGATGTTCTGCAGCAACAAAGATGGCATTATTGAGGACTGCCTCCTTTTGTGGGGGGGAGTTTTGTTCCCCAAGAATTGCCTCTGTAGTGTCAACCATGACAAGCCTGGAGACGGCATAGCTGTGAGTCTGCAGGGGTCTCCAAAGCGACACCCCAACTGTCCATCCTGTTGATGACCATGTACTCTTCTATTGGTGTTCACAATGTTGTTTAAAGGATGTCAGATGACTCAGTTCAACAGACCATAACCTTTTATTCATCCTTCCTGGAGGCCCATGGACAGAGGGTGAGAGAGTTTGGGATACAAAGTAAAAAGGACTGTGTGAGCAAAGGGGAAAAGAATCTAGTGCTTTTTTTCTAGCACCTCCACTCCTATCACGCATCTTATTTTTCTTTAACATTTATACCAGCTGTTTGTTGCCTGCCTCCTTTACTAGAATTAAGACTCCATGAGGGCAGGGACCTTGTTTAGTTCACGGCTTCATCATTAGTTCCTAGAGTACCTCCTGGCCCATGGCAGGTGCTTGATACCTATTTGTTGAATGAATAAATGAAGTTATTGAGGACCTTCTGTGTTGCACAATTTTGTGGATGTAATGCCATTTAATGTTTCAACTTTATGAGATATACTTATTATTTTCATTTATGGCTAAGGAAATTGAGTCTCAGAGATTAAATAACACTTCCAGAACCACGCAACTGGTAACTGGTAAAACTGAGATTTTCATTTAAGCCTGACTGACCCCAAACCTATCTTCTAGACCACTAGAATTCTGATTTTGCATAGTTCGAACTAAAAAATATTAAAGACTTTTGAAAGCAGTGAAGGACATGATCATCAAAGGCATTTTCACTTGCGCATAATACACTCAACAAGAACAGATTCCTCCCTGCCCTCACTAAGGTGAGAAGATCTCAAAATGTTAAGTTTATTGAATCCTTACTTATTCGTGGACAAGGACTAGGGCTAATTTATATGCATTTGCACAAATTTTGGGAGCTCTAAGCTGAGTCACAAGTCAGAGCCTTATATTGACAGTGAGTGAGTCTAAGGAAAGGTGCAAATATTTAACAAAGTCATGTTGTGTGCAAGAAACCATGCTTTAAATAAATGATTTCACTTAGTTCTCACAAATTTCCTTTCTTCTTCCTCCCTTCCTCCCTTTCTCTCTCTCTCTCTCTTCCTTCCTTCCTTCCTTCCTTCCTTCCCTCCCTCACATCAGAGGTAAGATACTGAATAACTTGAAAAGTAGATATCATCTATTCTTAGATAAAGAGGAAGAATATCATTAAACAAGAAGTAAATTATAGAAAATCTTTAATAGAAGAAATTACCACATTTACCAAATCAATAAGAAAAAAAAAACCT